ACATGTGGACTCTGTTGTTAGCAAAGGGCTTACCCTTTCCACAGTCAAACATTTATTATTTTCTCCCTATTTTATGGAATAAATATTTTGTGCATGTACCTTCCTTCTGCATCATCTTATTGTAGATATAAATACCATTTTATGTATATAAAACGAGTGTAGTAAAAGTTTAATTTAAAGATGAGGAGAGGGGACTATAAATAGTCTCCCCTAGACAAAAAACTTACTTGGAAGTTGTCTATAGTTAGCTTGTGTGGTTACTTATATGTGTATCAAACACTGTAATATATAACTTTACAACAGTCTCCACGATTGTTAATTTTCAAATTACATTGAATCAATAGTTTTTCTTGTGCTGGTACAAGTGTTTTCTTTTCTGGACACAAATTGTGTAAAAACTGTTCAATAGCAACACACCTGCAAAATAAAAATTACAAAGAACCAATATTATTTATGAGAACAAATGCCTCTTTAGGAACTCTGTCCCTGGTCAATGCAAATTCATAAATAATTATATTGGTCATACCACTACATGCCTATCTAGGCGACTCATGTTACACCTATCTGACCATAGCTCAATTAGGACTCATTTAAACATATACAGAAACCTACCAAACTCCAGCTGCAACATACTATGTAGTAGAAACTACAAGTATAATAACCTTATCCACATGTAAAAAAAAAAAAGATTTAAAATAATGGGAGCAGTAATAATAAAAAAGGAAAAGCCAACACTCAATAAAATTAACTATGAACACAGCTACAATGTGCTAACCATGTTTAAAAAATGAAATATTCTTATAACTTTATGCACATATAAAAAAACAACACATTCAGTTAAAAATAAAAATTGACCTTGATAATGGCTAAAAGAATAGTTGAAGCACTCAGATATACAGAACTTCTGGACAGTTTTTACATGCTTTGTATTCAAAAAAGAAAACACTTGTATGACCACAAAAAATTAAATGAAAAATCTAATCACAGTACCTTGTCAGTCATCATTAACAAAACTTGTATAAAAGAGGGATTGCTACCCACATACACAATATATATATATATATGGTAGATGGAGTTTTCAAAACTGAAACAGTTATTTACAAAGCAGAAGTAATAGATGCAAATAACCAGAAAGAAATATACATAGTGTGTACTGCAGGTAACATTATAAAGAGGTGGTATAATCATAAGTCATCTTTTAAGCTAGAAAGCCTTAGAAATTCTAATAAACTAGCCAACCATGTGTGGAAATTAAAAGAGAAAAATAAGAAAGATCCAATTGTAAACTTGGAAATTTAAAAAAAAAGCCAAACCTTACAACAATCATAGCAATAACTGCAACATTTGTCAACAAGAAAAGTTAGATATAATAACATTTCCAGACCAAAAAACCTTTTAAACTAGAGATTGGAAATTATGTCCCATTATATTCATACTAAAAAGTTCCTTTTGAGTTCATTTGAAGTGGGATAAAAAGAACGTAAGTATATTTCATTTAATCCCTCCCCATTATATTTCCAGTACACTGGATTTTCCCCTCCTTTTCACCTGCTACCACACTTCACATCATGCACTTATCCATTTATTCATTCATAAATTTAATTTTTTAAAAATAAAGCATTAAGAAATTATTGACCGAAATTGCCTGAAGATAACGAAAGTTTGAAACCAAGATAGCAAAATCAGCTGATTATCTAATTTTCTATACTTAAAAGCTCTACATGTTAAATTTTTATCTTTTTATATGTGTATTGAGCACTTTTTAATACTACTGTTTCCTGGTCTAATTCAACTCTGACCATTAACTTCTTAATTATTATTATTATTACTATTATTATTATGTATTATTATTATTATATATATATATATATATATATATATATATATATATATGTGTGTGTGTGTGTGTGTGTGTGTGTATATGTTGAACAATAAAACATATTAAAAATTAAAATCTTCAGACACACTGTGTTGTATATTAATATTCTTTCATTTTTATTATTTCATTTAGATTCCTCGACTAGTTCCGGCCAACATGGCCATCATCAGGAGAAAAGAAATTTCTGTTTGTTAGTAGCAGTGAACTACAGAAATTAATGATGATGGAGAAAATGAACTTTTGTCTTTGGTTTTCATTTGTTTTTTCTTATTTTTTAACATGAATTTTGGTCAGTCCTTGTGTTGGTCATACAGACTCTTTTAAATTGTTATTTAAGATAAGAGCTGGATGGATTCATTCTGCCCTGAATTCCCTTGGTCATTTTGACAATATATATATATATATATATATATATATAATACAAGTGAAGATTACAAGAATTTTCTGTTTTTTAATACTAGCAGATCTGCCAAAAGCCATCAATACATAACAATAGCTATAATAGTTTATAAATTAAGAAATGTATAAGTGACTAATTTGGTTAGCCAACTCAAGAGTTTTGCACTGAAGTGCTCATTGTAGCCAGATGGTTGATAAATCTATTGAACTTATTATCAGATCTCATATCGATTCTAAGTGAACAAGCACTAATTCCATTTTTCAAATTTGAGATTCTTAACATGCTAGATTTTCCTTAGAAATGTCACAAGATTTTAATTTAGAACCATTTATACATATAGTTAAAAGAGTAATTAACTGATGAGCATTTAAACGTGAAATACTTGAGTTGGTTAACTAGTGAGATCATTTGAACTTTTAATTTATTGAGCAAACACACACACACAGAAAGAAGAAAAATCAACGTAACACAAACTAAAAAATGCATAAATTATCTTTTTTAACTTAATATAAAAATAATGGCTATGAGAAAATCAGACAATTGCTGATATCTCCTGATGAATGGACCAAACATTTACAGAAAGGTTCATCTTCGAAACTCTGGAGTCAGGGTGCCGAATATAACATCAATCAGCTGAGTGATACATTTCGTATTTGTATTAATCCGGTATACAGGGTGCGATGGATAAATTGTCGCCTGAATTATGCGAAAATGAAAATAATATTATTTTTTAACAGATATATTTACCAAAAATTACACATAAATATCTTGAAATACTAAAGAGTAAATTTATTCAATAAAATCACCATTGGCTTCAACCACGGCCTATAAACAACTTTGGAATCTCCTGCAACTCTTGTGGAGAGTCTCTTTGTTTAAGTTGATGAATACTGTCATAATTCTTGCTTTCAGTTCATCTTTAGTGTTACAAGGAATTTTCTTGGTCTCTCGCTCAACTGCACCTCACATATAATAATCAAGAGGTTTGCAGTCTGAGGAGTTAGGTGGCCAGATGTAAGGGGTGATGTGGTTGCAGAAATGGTCTGAGAGCCATGAATGGATTCTCTTGCTTGTGTGGCATAGTGCAGAGTCTTGTTGCCAGACAAAGGTTCCAGCAGCCACCCTATTGACCTGGGGCAGCAGTATCTCCTTAAGGCACTTGATGTAGGCTTCCTTGTTTAGTCTGAGGCCCTCACTAACAAATTCAGGAGTTCTTTTATCAGAACAATCAGAGTGAGTTTTCCAAGATGCTATACCTTTGTAATCACCATTAGAATAATCAAACTCTTTCTGAATCCTCTGCACTGTCCTCAGATTGATGCCCAGACAATCTGAAATGTTCATATTGGAGCTTTTGGTGAAATATGCCATGCAGTGCAGCATGCCATTTCCAAATTTCTGGCAGACTGAATTGCACCATGGTACTCTTTTTTCTCACAAACAGAACCTACTACACTGTGCAGTCAACGAAATCAAAAACAAGCAACACACATGCATGAAATTAAAAATATAAAATGGTGACAATTTACCAATCGCACCCTATAATATATAAATATACACACACACACACACACACATATATATATATATATATTATAAATTAATTGATTTGTTTTTTTTGCTACACAGTTCTAACCATGTTTCAAAAATGAATTTCAATTTTTTACACATGGTTAGAACTGTGTAGCGAAAAAAACCATATTTTAAATCAATTAATTTATAATATTAATGCTCTGTAAATTTACATTGAGCACTATTTTGTAAAAATAAAAATATCTATAAGAACACTGGATTATATATCTTACTCTTTCTTTTCTTTATTTTTATATATATATATATATATATATATATATAGTTATAAGGTATCAGTTAAAGTGCTCTATATCATGGATAGAGCGTATGTAAATTTAAATCAACACCCAAAGATGAATGACAACTGGTTTGATGCTAAATGTAATTGTCAGGCCATGTGTGGGGAAAAACACAATGCACATGGGCTGACAATAGCCTTTAGCAGAAAGCAGTCTATTGCCTCTGGGTGTTGATTTCAATATCCACTTATATATATATATATATATATATATATATATTTGATTAACCAAAATGTTTATTCCCTTATTTAGTAGAAAACTTATTTAATAAACCAAACAAACCTTTTGTTCCGCTCAATATTGTAAAGAAATAATGGATTTTATTTTTAATCCAACATTTTTATTAGTTAAACTTTTATTATAATGGATACTCAGATTTGAAATAGACATCTCATTTTTATTTTTTCTTTAAGGGTTGTAATAAAGCTATCAGTGGTCTCCCTGCTTATCTGAGAAAGCCTTTTAATTTTATTAAGATTTCTTGAACATGAAAACCAACAAAATTTAAGGTAAAAATAAAAATAAGTTGTCTGTTCCAAAATATGAGTATTCAATATAATAGCAGTTGAAGTAATATATATGCATGTTTTTATATCTTACATATATATGCATATGTGTGTGTTTTATGTACTTGTTTTTTTTTATCTTATCTGATTAGTAATTAAAAACTTGTCAACAGAAAAGTGATTTGTGTCCAAGATGTCTTCTTTAGATTAGCTGTTCTGTTGGGTTTCAACAGAAGCAGAAACAATGGTCCATTTTGTTTTAAAATAAAGAATAAATTATGACTACTGGAAGTATATATATATATATATATATATATATATATATAAATATATATATATCCAACGAGAGAAAAGAAAGAGAGAGAGAGAGATAGAGAAAAAGATAGATAGATAGATAGATATGTAAAAGATAGTATAGATTCTCAATAATAGATTACAACCAAAAACGATATGATAGATACTAGTTATATATATAATTGTCTAATATGGATATAATTTGAGAGAGAGAGGATAGATTAGTTAGAAAATAGATGATAAGTAAATTATGAATACTGGGAAGTTAAATAAAAATATATATATATATATATATATATATATATATATATATATATATATAGAGAGAGAGAGAGAGAGAGAGATAGATAGATAGATAGATAGATAGATAGATAGATAGATAGATAGATAGATACTAGTTGAAGTAATTGTCTAAGCTGGATAAGAATTTGTGACTTGGGTTCAGTTAGTTAAAAATATGAAAGTGAATGGATGCTTCCTCCTGAAAAATAGTGTCAGATATTTTCTCATAGCTAAGAAATGTCTATCTTTGTTGTCAGCTAAAAATGCAATATTGTCATTATTGTGTTTCAAAGTTCATTTATATCACTCGTCATTGAAATGGATGGCAATAATATGAAGTGATAGACAGCTATAAAAATGCACTGTTGATTATTTTTGGCTAATTTGTTTAAATAATTCACTGATTATTGTTTGTTTTATGTTGCAATAATTGTAGGTAAAATGATGCATTAAAATAAGTAACCAGGTAATCATTTTTACGTTTTCTCAATATTAGTACCAAAATATAAAATAATAATGGAGATATTTAATTTGCATATTTAACTTTAAAAATAATTTTGTTTTGTTATTATGGTCTTTTAAAATATTTAGAAATCTTCTCTTATTCATGACTTAAAAATCACAACAAATTATGCAGTACTTATTTTGATTAACAACGTTACTTAGAACGATTACTTCACTACTTATGTAAATGTTAAAAAAAGAGTCTTAGTTGGAATAATATAAATGACAGATGATTATAAAAAGGCACTGTTGATTATTTATGGTGATCATATCTCTTTTTGATTCATGATTGACTTAACAGAAGAATTCCTTCAATAGGCTGCCATTACTTTCTGCAGTCAACCAAAGCTATAGGACACAATCTGTCTTACTATATAACCTATAGCTGGGGTATTTATGGTCAATATGTTTAAATAATGCATTGACTATTATTTATGTTACATGGCAATAATTGTAAGTAAAATGATACACTAAAATAAGTAACCATGAAATCATTTTTAATTCCTTTGAATATTGTTGGCTATTTCTTATTGGCAATTATATAAGTGACAGATGACTATAAAAATGCACTGTTAATTATTTATGGCTTCCTTAGGTGCCATGCATAATACATGCTTGGATGATCATGTCTCTTTTTGATTCATGATTGACTTGGCACATGAATTTGTGCAGTATGCTGCAATAAAATAAGTAACCAAGTAATCGTTTTAAGTTCTCTGAATATTGCTGCTGAAGAACAAGTTGGTGCTTAGGAGAAATAAAGAGGGAAGAAATAAAAATACAGTGAATGAAACTGCAAGAAAACATTGCATAACACAGGCACCTGGAAATAGTCTAAAACCCGTATATTATTTTTTAAATCATTTTAGAAATGGGGATCCTGTTCATAAAATAAATAAAGTGTCAAATCAACCCCTCACTTATTAAAAAATTATCTGTACTTTGTTTTTATTTATAAAATGACAGATGGCTATAAAAAGTATCTGATGATGATTTATGGTGACCATGTCTCTTTTTGATTCATGACTGACTTGGCTGGAGAATTCCTGCAGCAGGCAGCCATTACTTTCTGCAGTAGACTGGTTGCCAATCAAGGCTATAGGAGCTAGTCAGTTCTGCTATATACCCTATAGCTGAGATATTTCAGTTAATTTGTTTAAATAATGCACTGACTATTATTTGCATCAAATGGGAATAATTGTAAGTAAAATGATACACTAAAATAAGTAACCATGTAATCATTTTAAGTCCTTTGAATATTGTTGCCTATTTCTTCATGGCAATTATATAAGTGTCAGATGGCTGTAAAAATTCACTGTTGATTATTTATGGCTTTCTTAAGTGCCATGCATGATACATGCTTGGGTGATCATGTCTCTTTTCACTTATGATTGATTTGGCAGAAGAATTCATGCAGTAGGTCGCTGGCTGCCAACCAAGGCTATAGAACCCAGTATGTTCTGCTATATAACCTATAGCTGTAGTATTTGTATTAATTTACTTAAATATTTATTTAAATAATGCACTGACTATTATTTGCATCATGTGGCAATAATTGTAATTAAAATGATGCTTTAAAATAAGTAACCAAGTAATCGTTTTAAGTTCACTGAATACAGGTTCCTAAAAAATAACATGTTACGTGTACAGAATTTATGACAAAAAAAGGGGGCCCAATAGCTATTTGGGGCAATAATTATTGACTCATAAATATTGAAAGTTCATGATACTTATCAAAGATCAATTCAGAGTTTTGCAATGCTATACTCTTCAAAAGCCAGATAAGAATGATTCTCATAATTACAGAATATATTTTTAATAGGCAATAATATAAGTGACAGGTAGCTATAAAAAGGCATTATTGCTTATTTATGGATAATTTGTTTAAATAATGTACTGACTACTGTTTGCATCACATGGCGATAATTGTAAGCAAAATGATGCACTAAAATAAGTAACGGCTATAAAAAGGTACTTTTGCTTATTTACGGCTAAGTTGTTTAAATAATGCAGGGATTATTATTTGTGTCATGTAGCAATAATTGTAAATAAAATGGTGCACTAAAATAAGTAACCAAGTAATCGTTTTACGTTATCTGAATATTTGTGCTAAAAAAAAAAATAAGTAAATAACATCAAAACCCTTCCTCTAGGTCCAATAAGAGTACATACCCATTTTGAGGACATTAAATATACCACACAGGCAAAACCTTTTTCTCTGTTGAATTGGTAACTATAAAATATCTATACAATGCAAAGCTGAAATATTAATACTCCCATAAAGGACATAGTTCACCTTTGTTGTTGGTTAGTTTTGTTTAGTGGCATATCAACATTTATGGGATATATAACGCTGAAATCTGAATATTTTATATGCAATTTTTTATTTCTTTTATATTATTTTTTTTTTTTTTAAGATAATAATGTTTTAGTGAAAGTAATGTTTGCTGAATGATTTCATTTGATTGATTTATTATCTCTAGCTTATCAAACTTTTGTAGTATATTTAAAGCCAGAAAATATTTTTAGAGGTAGGAGTCGGGTGATACAAGGGAGACAATACCAGGGTGGGGCAATATGATGGGAGGTGATACGATTGGGGTAGAAGAAGTATGTGTTGTGCCAATCTTTCCTGCTTGAAAATGAACATTTAAAAATCTTGGCTCAAACACCAACCACTTTTATGGGATAGGAAATAATAATAAAAACGAAATATTTATATATGTTGGTATATATTTATGTGGGGTAATTTAGAAGTGAATTTATGAACCCCTCTCCCTGATAATAACAACAATAATAAAAAATAATAATAGATAATTTATTCGTTAAGACATTTTTTATATATATATATATATATATATATATATATATATATATAATTATTTATTTAAAAATTATAACATAAATATGTTATAAAATCATTACAAAAATGACCATTTGTTTCAAACCTCAAATTCTTATTTCGTGATGATGTTGAATGTAAAATAAATGGTTTAAAAGTTTCAAATTAATTAATTTTCCTTTAAAGGGAAAATGCTGTTACATAAGATAGAAATTTGAAATCTTTTAAAAACTTTATTTTACATTCAACATCATCATACTTGATAAGACACCAGAGATTGTTGAAACAAAATATTATTTTTTAGTGATTTTATAACATATTTATGTTATAAGTTTTAAATAAATATTTATATCTGCTCTACTCTGTATTGAGCACTCTTTTAAGAATAGTAATTGTTGGTTATTGGAATTTATTCCATATACATCAATCCTATACTTGGGTGTATATATATATAGGACAGTCAGTTAATGCAAGGTAGCTGGCCGCATCTCCCACAATATTCACATTGAAGAGTCAAAGAAATTTTTTAAAAAGAAAAAAAAAGGATCAAAAAAAAAAAAGTGCATTTTATTTGTAAAAATAATGACTTGTACGAGAAGCAATTTAAAAAGACACAATAACAGCTTTGCACTGAAGAAAGACACAATATAAAAAGCGACACTGACCATTAGTTTTTTGGGGTTTTTTTTGTTTTCTTCTTTCTTGAACAATTTCCAGAAAATGTCAGTTTTATCAGACAATGTTAAAACCCTGGACAGAGAATCTGACAATGTGTTTCAAACCTTTCAAGTATTCAGTCAACAGCTCTTCATGAGAGCCTATTTACGAGAGGTGGGAGCTGCCAGTTTGGGGCGGGATGTACGAGATGTGCAGGAGAATGCATTGTGCCAATCTTTCCTGCTTGAAAATGAACATTTAGAAAATCTTGGCTCAAACAGCAACCACTTTTTATGGGGGTAGGAAATATGAGATAAACCAACTATACCCCATTAAGTAGACATTTTAATAACAGCCACTGGGAAGTATTTAATCAAGTTTCATTTACCAACTTATGAACAGAACTAATTGAAGTATAAGTAATACAATAAGGCTCTGAAAACATTACCAATCCAAACGTGAAAGTAACGTTTGCTGAATGATTTGATTTGATTTATTTTTCATGGTTTAGCAGGTTATGTCAAACCAGAAAATATTTTTAGATTGTAGAAATTCTTTTTTGGAGGTAATAACGATTTAGTGATACAAGTCTTACTAATTAATGCATAGTTGGAAAGGAGATGAGATGGATTTATGCCTTTCCCAAGGGTATTTGGGCATAAGTGAATATAACAAACACAATGGGAATTGGAACTCAGCTGGCTGATTAACAATTCCAAGCACATGGTATTTCCAAGGAGCACACGGTATTCCCAAGGAGTCACTCACCTAGGTACAAACCAAGTTTGATGTTGCTTAACTTCATTGATAATATAGGAAGTGCTATTTTTTTTTTTTACTAATGTCTACCTAATACAAGGCCCAACAGCCATTCAAGGTAGAGGGTCATTGTGTTGTGCTGCATTAGCGTAAGAAAGAAGAAACATTAAGAGTATAGAGCTGAAGCAGTCTTTAGAAGGAAATGGAAATCCAATCCTAAACAAGAAACAAGGGATAAACCTCTATTCCTATTCAAAAGACCGGGGGGAGTGCGAACCGGGCGGTAGGAGAAACTTTCTATTCCTTCAATAAGATTTGGTCATAAACCTTAGCCTTTATTGAAATCCAGAGTGTTTTGATATATGAAATACATAACTAGGGGATGTCACTTTTACAAACTTTTTCGTGAGCTAAAAAATGTGATATTGTCACTGTTAATGTGTGTCAAAATTCTTTCTTTTTTAGAGGGGGGGGGGGAAAGTCATTGGGATAGATGGTGCTTTGGGTTGGCAGTAACTTAAAATGTGAAAACAATATTTTTCCTCCAATTCTGTTTACAAATACTAGTTGCAAAATAAAATCTCTATATTTACCTTGATAAAAAGTCCCTCTTTGGATGAAATGCATTGGTAAAGAAAAGGGTTTCTTTTTTCTTGTCTATAGCCGAAGTACCTGTTTACAATGGGTAAAAGATGAAGCTGGTTATTATAAGAATAGAATTGTTCCTTTGTCCAGAAAAGTGATCTCACATATTTTCCTTATACCAGTCTATAGGTAGATATAGATTATGTTTATACTTGAGTCTATAGGCTGACATATCGTATGTTTATACTTAAGCCTTTAGGCTGACATAGACCATGTTTATACTTCAGTCTATAGGCTGACATAGGCCATGTTTATACTTGAGTCTATAGATAGATATAGATTATGTTTATACTTGAGTTTATAGGATGACATAGACCATGTTTATACTTCAGTCTATAGGCTGACAACATAGGCCATATTTATACTTGAGTCTATAGGTAGATATAGATTATGTTTATACTTGAGTCTATAGGCTGACATAGACCATGTTTATACTCGAGTCTATAAGCTGACATAGGCCATATTTATACTTGAGTCTATAAGTAGATATAGATTATGTTTATACTTGAGTCTATAGGCTGACATAGGCCATATTTATACTTGAGTTTATAGGTAGCTATAGATAATATTTATACTTGAGTTTATAGGCTGACATAGACCATGTTTATACTTGAGTCTATAGGTAGATATAGATTATATTTATACTTGAGTCTATAGGCTGACATAGACCATGTTTATACTTGAGTCTATAGGTAGATATAGATTATGTTTATACTTGATTCTATAGGCTGACATAGACCATGTTTATACTTCAGTCTATAGGCCAACAACATAGGCCATATTTATACTTGAGTCTATAGATAGATATAGATTATGTTTATACTTGTGTCTATAGGCTGACATAGGCCATGTTTATACTTGAGTCTATAGGTAGATATAGAGTTTGTTTAAAAAACACTGCTAT